GGGAAAGATACCTCGATTTATTCCGATTTACAGCCCAATTGCGATAGTTCGAACTCAGACCAGGTGACTTCGATCCGTTTGCTAACGGGCATCTGGATTTTCCATTCGCACTCCAATTCTACGTCTTTGCCCACGTCCCCGGGGCTCCTGATGGTACCAGTAGTAGCGGTATACACGTCGTTGCAACCCGGAATGCCTAAAAGAATACCCTATAATTCTAAACGATCCGAAAAATCACGCTCATCATCGAGATCGGAATCTCGGTCACCTTCGATGGTGGAGTAGTGAATCTGGAAGCCAGCATCTTGACTAGCACCGTCAGAGTGGAAGTGAATCACGACTTCCGAAGCTGGCACAACGAGAGGCGGAGGATGGGTATGATTACAGTAAAGTCCAAGTCGCTCTTGATGTATAGTGCTGATCTGTTGAAAGTTAAGATAAATACGAGTCGTGCGCAAGAGTTAACGAATATGCGTACCTCGAGGAAGTCAGACTGGCAGATCGGATGTTCCTCGAGCATCAGTAGCCCGAAATGGATCTGTATTCTCTTGGAGGGTCTAACGGTAATCTGCCAATAACAGTCCCTGTTCGGCGGATACCTGCCTGGTGATCCAGGCGAGCTGATCGTGCCGTAATCGGCCGTCAAACTACCGCCGCAAACGGGCTTGATGCTGTTCCAATGGAACGCGAAGCCGTCGTTAGTTACGCTGTCGTCGGAGTGGAACCAGAAGTACAAAGAGTTGTGCGAGGACACGATATTTCCGTTCTCGTTGGGAAAGGTGTTGCCGCAAAACCTGCCGATCATCTGACTGCCGGCGTTCCTGCCATCGTGTATCTGAAACGCGTTATCCAATGAACGGGTCGATTAACGATACAGGAAATCCGAGGAAAATAGACGAGAGGACGAATCGGTTATCCTGATACCTGCAGAAAGTCGAACTTGCAGTCGGTCGATTGCTCCAGGTTGAAACGGGTGAACGTGACGTTTAACACGAGCGAGCTGTTGGTGACCAGAACCCAGGCGCAGCTCAGCCCCTTCTGATAAACGTTTCCACCGATCGGGAACTCGAGATGTCCCACGGGATTACGGGACACACCGCCGCAGGTCTGCCGTGGCATTTCGCATCTGCTGCCGGTGTACGTCGACGTGCAGTCGCAGGATACCCCACCGTTAGAAATCACGCATACACCGCTGTTTTTGCAGGGATTCGGTGTGCACGGATCTATTTTCACGTTACACGTGGCCCCTGAAATAATCGGTAATGTCGTTGAACGTTCGGTGCATGTTAATCGGGGCCAAAGGATTTTTACCTGTGTACCCAACATTGCACGCGCAAGTGTAGCTGTGCCCGTTATCGATGCATCGGCCATTCACGCAGGGATTACTGGAGCAGAGTGCATTAACAGACACATCGGTCGATGGTTGACAACCGTTCGGACCGATTCCATCACCCACCATGCCGATTGGACAACGGCACATCACGTAGGAGCTTGGGAGAGCTGGATTCTTGATGCACGCGGCTAATGGATGACAACCGCCATTGTTGATAGCGCAGCTGCCAACGTAGGTACAGGTTACACCGTCGCCTTGGTACCCCGTGGGACATGGTCCGCACATCCTCGAGCCCTGTAACCAATCGCGTGCACTGGTTTACCGAAAAGTATGTTCAGTCTGTTCCAGAAGGTTGCGACATGTATTTTGTTTAATACGCGCTGATAAACACACCTCTACCGATATTCGTATCAATTATTCAATTTACCATGGTATTGATGCACTGAACTCTAGGTGACGTGCTGCAACCTCCGTTATCCACCAAACACTCGTCGATGTCGATGCAATAATAACCATTTCCCGTGTAACCCTGAGGGCAAGAATCACAGAAGAATGTCCCAGGAGCGTTTCGACAAGCGACCCAAGGATGCACGGAACATGGTCTATGATTCCCGGCGCATTCGTCCACGTCTTTGATGCAAGCAGGATTTGGACTATCGGCCTGCCAACCCTGAAACAACGGAAGGCTTCGGTAGTACGAAGGAACTAATTGTTTCTGGAAACAAGACAAAGAGTTTCGCTAGATGTACCTGGTCACAGATGCAAGTGTAACCGAGCGGTGTGCCAGTTTTGGCCACGCAAACACCGTGACCGCATAGTTCGTCGGAGTTTTGCGTGTTGCAAATGGAAGACTTTTTGTTGCAGTGCAGGCCGAACCAGCCTGGAGCACACTCGCACCTGGAATGCAAATATAATATCAGTAAAATTAAAATATCGGTGAAATGCGATGTAACAATATTCCAGGAGAGGATATTTGATCGAAAACCTATATGATCCCGGGAGGTTCAAACAGGTAGCTCCATTTTGGCATCCGAGGTCTGTTCCCAGCAACCTAACGCACTCGTTTACATCCACCACGCAATTTGGTCCCTGTGATATCGTTGGAGGAATATTAATACGCGAAACGTGGTATAAGTTAAATAAATCAACATCTTCGATATTTTATAGCTTACCTCCCAATTTGAGGGACAATGGCACTGGTACCCTTCGTAAAGATCCTGACACGAGCCACCATTTTGACAAGGGTTGCTAGTGCATTCGTTTATCCTCAACTTCGATTCTATCGACCTTACTTTTTCTTCCACACGTCGTACCTAAAAATATTTCAACGATTATCCAAACGTTCAGTTAGGTGTACATCCTACCTAGATATTCTATAAGAACATGTCTCATACGTACTCTATGAGCGATCATTCGAATCTTCGAATTCATCCCTGTGATAGACTGCAAGTAATTAGATGAACCATTAGCTATTTATCCAGTTACTCGTAATGATCCCCTGTAAGGGAAATCTTGTTCCAAACATGCTTACTTGGTTCCTCGTCAAAGTTTCTGGTTGCAGCGTATTATTCCCATCTCCGAATCCCTTCATCATAGCTATTCTCTTCTCCAAACCTTCCGGGCCCTCGACAATTTGCGTCAATCGGTGCAAATTCGATTCCACCTCGGCCAGATACCCGGTTCTCCATCTCTCGATCAGATGCGTCGCGCTTTCAGCCTAGAAAGGAAGCAATTACGTGATCAAAGAGAGGATCATCCACACAACTCTGAAATGCTCGCAGAAAGGACTGTTGCCGTACAGCAGTAGCGACGTGAAGCAAATTAATTTCGTTCACGGTCACTTGGCCATCTCCTAGGGTCTTCAGGGTGATGTTCTTGTCCTTGGCGGCGGAAATGAACAGATTTCCGTCCCGAGACTCCAACACAGGCCTGGAACGCGTTAAAAATTACGTTTATGCAACGTTGCAGGGCCAGAAAGTTTCTTTTTCTCTCGGCGAGAGATCGCATCTGACGGAAATTGCGTTCTCCAGACCTTTCGTCCATCCATGCCGCACAGAATCCCAAGCAAGTCAACAGCAACCATTGCGATGCCGTGGCCATGTCGCCACGATGCTACGAAACGTCCCTCGATCGAATTTTATTGCAGCATCTCCTGCTGGACGCCGTACGCGATTTTTCCCTTCGTGAAGCTCGTTGTAGACTGCATCGAATGATCAGGAACTAGGCGATATCTTCGGTGGAAAGTGGGCGTATTTCGGTGCACTTATCTAAGTCCACCCAGTATCGGTTACACCTCCATCGTGACACGTTACGCGTTACCAGCTTCTTTCTCTAATAAGAGATATCCGAGGAAGAATCTTTCGTTTAAATTTGATCCGAGAATTTTATTCGTCCAATTTAAGTTTAATAAGTTTCTTCGACTTTCTAACTTTCCTTTAGGATATTCTTTTCCCTATCGTTCTTCGCTTGAAACTTCCTTTATCTCGAAGCGTTGTTTAACGGTATTGCAAGTGTGCTGGAAATTTTTAAGCAACTTTTTAACGCGTCAGAACAAAACTTGCGTATATAATAGGCATTAACGCAATTCGAAACTTAGTTTGTTACGAAGATACCGATTTCGCCTGGGAAATATACATTCGACGATGAAAAATAGTAAATCGGACAACGTTTGCAACGCAAACCCGATTATATCGTAAAGTATGCAAGTTAAAAATTTTAAACTGATCGGGAAAAAGAAATATTTAATTCCTATAGAGACCACGGGAAAGATACTAATTTTTAAAGGTCTATATTATTTACTTACATTTACGTCGGGGAAATGCGAGTCGGTGAAGCAGAAAGAGTCGATAAAATAATTGAATCGTTGCCAGCGGAGCTGATATTTAAGCGAGATGAATATTTAGCCAAGCTCGCATTCATGAAAATGATAATAAATTTATGTTATTATTTCGTTATACACTACGCTTTATCCGTGCATTCGAGGCCACTCCAGCAGTTGCAGTGCGTTGCATAGAGAGGTCAGCATGAAACCGATACAAGAATTCGCGGGCGATCTAGTGAAATTCGAATTTCGGCGCCAAACGGGGCAGTGGGCGTCGCAGCCGCGACCGCAGCGCCATCTGGCGCGGGGATTCGGAAGCTACGGCACGTTCGGAGTGACCGCATAGCCGCCGTTCCCGTCGAAGCCGGACAGTATGGCTTCGGCTGCCGGTTCGTTCGCGTTAGTGGTGTTGGTCCACGGTGTTACGGTGCGTAGTCGGCGGCGGGTGTGCGTGCTCCGTTTTTTGCGAACGAAACACCGCACGTGAAACGTGGACGTACGAAGGGAAACGAGATCGTCGAGGGGACGCGAGGCCGAGGGGCGAGACCGACGAGATATACGACAGAGATGCGGCGAAATGTGAAAATTGTGTTGCTGCTGTCATGCGCGTGGATGTTCGCCTTTGTTTACTACTACCACACGTCACGGGACAACAAGGTATGTCAGTGAATCGTCATTTATCGCGGTTATGAGCTCGCTGCGTAATATTGGCCGCCATGTGCGCGTCTTTCGGCGATCGGAGCGCAGCCCCACGCGAAAGGCATGCCAACGCCGCTACCCCCGGGCTCCGTGTATACTCTGCTCGAATTTCTACGTTCCGATATCGGCGAAGGTGTAGCCCGAGTAGACTATTTACGACTCGCCGGGGAGTCGAATATTTCGTGGCGACTTTCCGCACGACCGGTCACGCTGTTCCGTGTTCCTTTGTTTTCGCGCGGTGGGTCGCGACATTTTGATAATACTCTACGGTATGTCTCGGTCGAAATATCTCGTCGCGGTGTTTACACAGCCGTTATACGCGGTGTCGGTAGTCGAACGGATGTGAGCATTCTCGGCATTGTGTCGATTCTCTCGTGATACGACGCGGTGAAATTCGTTCCTTACGTCGCCATTGCATTGGTTCCGCGTTTGAATCTGGAACGGCCTATCACGTGACCCGTTCACGTGTCACGCGGAGGCTGGGAATTGGCCGAGTGCACGGTAAATGCAACGCAAAGTATAGCGAACGGTTAACACGCGGTGAATAACGGCGACGCGTGCAGGCAGATTGCGACGCGAGTTATTGCCCTTATTAACAACGTTCGGCCGTTCGTGCGGCTTTGCAAACAATTCGAACGGCTCGTACTGGCAACTCGTCGGTCGGAACGCGCTCCGTTAAATTACCTGCCGGATGTGTACGGATATTCGCGAATATTTCCACCTTCCTCGTACATTGTATTTATTCCGTAAAAAATCATTTCATTAACCACGTCCGCTATTAGCAGGCTTCAAAGATTATTCATAACAGGATGTTGCGAGTCGCCGCGAAATTAATTACCGCGATAGACAGATAGTGGCGCATAAAGGACAGAAAGCATGGCGTCCAGGATTCTTTGATCGCGAAGCTTCGCCAAGTTCTCTTTGAAGGGACCGCGACTAACTTTCGCCTACCGCACTTGCAATTACTTTTCCGCGCGATTTTCCACGATTTTCCACGATTCCGCAACTCGTTCCCAGTTCTTATTACCTCTTCCCGTAAACACGTTAATTAGTCGCGGCAATTGCGTCCTGGCACTCGTGCGCGCCACGGGGAAGAGAGTGAAAGTAATTCTCGGATGTTACACGGCCGCTCTGGTAACAGATATTTACGTCTTACGTGGCGCAAAGCGTTTACGAATCGCAAAGCCATGCTTCGCCGACCGATCATTTCCGTGAGTCATTAGCCACGATGCTTCGCGGCAGTTGCGGCGAATTATCGAAGACGATACCGTAGAAAGTCTCTCGGACTTAAGTAACTTGACCGATGATCCTCTTCCGTTCACCGGAAACCCGGTGTCGCTTAAAATCCCTCCGGATTCGATGCGAGCGTAAATACTCCGGAGGATTAAGATTCGTTGAATGCCGTTGAAATATATTGCCGAAAAATATCCCACGAATTAACGTGTTTACACGGAGAAGTTCGCCAATGCGTTTCGCTGCGAAAGAGGTTACCGAGACGTACAGCTCCATCTGCCGTGGCGCCACTAGAGAATTTGCAACGGTTCTCGGCTAAATGCACCGTTTGGTACTCGCGCATTTATTCGAGCCACGAAAGATCGACCAATGCGTTTACCAACTCGTGAAAGGATCCAGCACGCGCAGTCTTTGCGAGTACTTGTGCAGAAACTACGAGCACAACCGGTGAATAGAAGCCTCGGAGATCTCGCGCGAACTTATTTCCGACGCGCTCCGCGTCACACGGGGTCTACACGGGTGTCCGCACGGTCTACGCACAGTCGATCGGTCGGTAATTGTAAAGAGACTGCGGAACTACGTGCAACTTGGACCAAAAAACGTATCTCGAAACATTTTCGTGACTACTTTAACCGAGGTAACCACGGATAGATCATCGCCCGGTGAAATTTCGAGTTTCGCGAGAAAATTTCAGGTCGTTGGAAATTTAAATCGACCATGGAACATTCCGCGACAAGGATTCCTCGGAAGCTCCTGGAATTTGTTACGTTCCGATTATTCGCGTGCGATATCTCGCGAAATTAATACGAACCCTCGCGCGAATTTTTCTCGCGGCTCGTGACTCGATCCACCTTTGGAATTTTTGGAAAAATCGACGGTGCAACACGGACTTGCTAACCTGCCTCCTGTTGCAGGCTCGTCCGGTCTCTATATTTTCGCTGGGCGAATTTTTTATTTGTTTTTCGCGTTTTGTCTGCGCGTTATCAACGGAACATAACGAAACGAAGAAAGTCAATAGCCGTATTTTCGAGGGAATATTAAAACGGTTTCGCGTATCGACGAGCGGCGTTTCATGTACCGCAACTTTTTCTGATTTATCGTCCCGTAATTTTCTGGCTTCGTTCGGTCCGGAATGCGGAGTGTTGCAACTGCAACGCTGATATTTCAGCGTCCTTTCTTCTGATAAAATACCGCCACGTTATTACACCGTCGCCCGTATAAACCCGAATCCATCTACATCCGCGTCGCGGTATCCTCGATTATTTTCGCAAGAAACGCCATTCTTATTGTACATTTTTTTCTCCGGATCGAAATCCAGGTCACGCAATTTCACGGAGAAAAGTGGTAAAAGGAAAGGAACGGCGGGATTGCGTCGGCGGAATGCACGTGGAATTACCTGGCGCCGTTCTCGAATTTTTCTATCGATGGCTCTCCCTTTTTGTTCTCTCCCTCGGAATTTCACTTTTTCGCGCCATCTTGCATCGGCTGTCGCGGCCTCCTCGATCCAGATCCCAGTCGATCGGAAGCTCGACCGTTAGCTACGGGGATCGAGC